AATAAGCTAAGTTAATAAAGTCTAGGCTATTGCATGTTAGATATATAATGCTTTAGTGGCGTGTTTTTCAATAACATGTTGCAAGGAGTCATATTGTCAACGCTGTGTGGGGAGATGATTTACTGCAAGGTCTAGACACACACACACACACACACACACACCTCCAGCCTCTCTCATCATAGGATCTCCATGGTATAGCTCCTCCTCCTGTATGTATGTATGTATGTATGTATGTATGTATGTATGTATGTATGACTAAGGTGTCAACATTACTTACCAGGTGTGATATATAGACTCCCATTCTCACCCTGGGATTATTGTCATTAGAGGCGTGAGTTGCTATATTGGCAGGTATCTGATGCTCACCTACCTGTCCATTACGAGCTCTTCCCTGCCTTATCTCGGACCTTAACACCTCTACCCGACCCATGTGTACCTTTTTAACCCCACTCACACGTCCTGTTGTTCCTCTTAGCCCCACTCACTCGTCCTGTTGCCCTTCTTAACTCCACTCACTCGTCCTGTTGTTCCTCTTAACCCCACTCACTCGTCCTGTTGTTCCTCTTAGCCCCACTCACTCGTCCTGTTGTTCCTCTTAGCCCCACTCACTCGTCCTGTTGTTCCTCTTAGCCCCACTCACTCGTCCTGTTGTTCCTCTTAGCCCCACTCACTCGTTGTTGTTCCTCTTAGCCCCACTCACTCGTCCTCCTCTTAGCCCCACTCACTCGTTCTGTTGTTCCTCTTAGCCCCACTCACTCGTCCTGTTGTTCCTCTTAGCCCCTCAGCTCTTCTCAATTGTCCTCTAGTCCCTCTTAGCCCTCTCACTCGTCTTCCCTGACACCTCCACAGCCCTCTCCACCCCTTCCTGACACCTCCACAGCCCTCTCCACCCCTTCCTGACACCTCCACAGCCCTCTCCACCCCTTCCTGACACCTCCACAGCATCCTCCACCCCTCCCCTGACACCTCCACAGTCCTCCACCCCTCCCCTGACACCTCCACAGTCCTCCCACCCTCCTGACACCTCCACAGCCCTCCCCACCCATCCCTGACATCTCCACAGCCCCTCCACCCTCCCTGATACCTCCACAGTCCTCCCACCTCCCTGACACCTCCACAGTCCTCTCCACCTCCCCTGACACCTCCACAGCCCTCTCCTCCCCTCCGTGACACCTCCACAGCCCTCCCCACCCATCCCCTGACACCTCCACAGCCCTCCCCACCCATCCCCTGACCTCCACAGCCCCTCCACCCCTCCCTGATACCTCCACAGCATCCTCCACTCCTCCCTGACACCTCCACAGTCCTCTCCACCCCTCCTGACACCTCCACAGCCCTCTCCCCTCTCCCCTGACACCTCCACAGTCCTCTCCACCCCTCCCCTGACACCTCCAGCCCTCCCCACCCATCCCTGACACCTCCACAGCCCTCCCCACCCATCCCTGACACCCCTCCCCACCCATCCCTGACACCTCCACAGCCCCCTCCACTCCTCCCTGATACCTCCATAACTCTATTGGCCTTTTGCCTTGCCCTCCCTAACTCTCCGCTATTCCCCCGTCTCTCACAGTTCCTCCCTGACCCTCCCTTACGCAACACTAATGTGATGAGAATCCAAAAATCATTTGTCCTTCTGAGAAAAAGTAATTGCAAAGGAAGCTTCATGAAGTGGTCGTGAGGAAGGTTAATGGTTGGCTCAATATTGGTGCACAGTCGCCCGTCACTCCTCCTCACTCACTACTGAAGGACCACCACTACTGAAGGACTACACGCACGCGACCATGGCATCAGTGTTGTACGTCTTATATACACGTATCTGGGGTAAGTATTGAGTGCCAGTAAGTTTTAAATCACCTTTATATACATTTTCTTAAAACTATAAACTATCTTTACTAGATAAACACGCTAATTTTCACTTTCCCCCCAAAATCGTTTTACGTCAAATACAAACCTGACCTACTTACTATACCTTGCACTTGGGGTCATACCATGGATTTTGTTTAAATTTCATACAAAGGGCAACACTTTACATGCTGATTAAGGATCTGGGTTTACAATTGAAAATATCGAGTAATCAGTGTTAATTATGATACGGTTGTGGTGCAGTGGTGGATGTTACCGGGTTGAGGGCTTCACCTAGCTCTCCCGGGTAGCGGCCGTCAACAAGGTGAGTTTCATTACCGGAGGAGTACGGTGCAGTCTAGTTAATATTCCGGATGAGGATCATCTCATTTAGTGCCGCGAATAAGGGTGATGAGGTTTATTAATTCTCAGTTGAATAGTGTCGTTATAGAAGCCATTTGAATATCGCCCAATCAAGGCTCACCTGTGTTGGTGACGTCGTGTGATTATGGACCAGACAGCAAGACTTCCGTGCGGCCATCCATGTAAATATATACAAGACGTGTCTCGACTTTATGTAAAAAATTAAGCAGCTGATTCCTGAGACCATTACCATTCAGAAATGTCATAATAGACAAGGGTCCGATTCTCAAAGGCTACGGGACTACGGGAAGATGTAAAACTATAGGTGAGGGACGCGGTGAGGGACGTGGTGAGGGACGTGGTGAGGGACGCGGTGAGGGACGTGGTGAGGGACGTGGTGAGGGACGCGGTGAGTGAGGACGCGGTGAGGACGTGACGTGAGGGACGTGGTGAGGACGTGGTGAGGGACGTGGTGAGGGACGCGGTGAGGGACGCGGTGAGGGACGCGTTGTCTCAGACTCAAGTGTTACGACCTCTCCTTTTCCCCCGCATTTTTTTTTCATTAGAAGTTTTATCGGATCACAACGCCTCAAACACAAGTCGACAGATCCAAGAATGCCAGCAAAGAATGCGTGTGTCACCAGAGGTTCGCGGCATTAATAAATTAGCTGTAGACATGTTATTTACGCTCTCGATAGAGGAATATGCGGATATGAACTTTGCTGAATATTTGATGCTGAAGCAATGTGGGTAAATGACCCCGAGGTTCTTGGTAGTGTTAAGTCATTGGTCAAACAAACCAGCGCGTGTGGCAGCTCAAAGCGGCCAGTTTGAACTATTATTATAGTGATCAGCAACAAGTCTCACCTAGCCACTATGCACACCATATAGCACCAGAATGTGTTTCAAACTCCCTTATTTACGTAACCCAACACTTATAGTTAGTCGAAAGGAATTTGGGAATAATTTGTAAGGAATCGTCACACAAATCAGCTATGTTTGTTTTCCCAAATAAACGCACCGTAAACACACCCTAAACACACCGTAAACACACCCTAAACACACCATAAACACACCCTAAACACACCATAAACACACCCTAAACACACCATAAACACACCGTAAACACACCGTAAACACACCCTAAACACACCCTAAACACAATAAACACACTCTGGACACGTGGCTATAAAACACATTTCTCCTACCTTATGTTGTGTAGTCGTGTCTCTGTTCGAGCTGTGGTAGTCACAATAAACTCTCTCACTATTCACCGCCAGTCAGCCAACCACTCACTCACAGAGATATCCTCCTACTGGCCTTAACACAAGCAAGGGTTGACCGCATCAGATCAGCGTCAAAACACATCGCCAGAATAAACTCCATATGAACGACTGAAGCTCCATATGAACGACTGAAGCTCCATATGTACGACTGAAGCTCCATATGTACGACTGAAGCTCCATATGTACGACTGAAGCTTCATATGTACGACTGAAGCTTCATATGAACGACTGAAGCTCCATATGAACGACTGAAGCTCCATATGAACGACTGAAGCTCCATATGAACGACTGAAGCTCCATATGAACGACTGAAGCTGGTTCATTCATTTTTGTAGTGGTTAAATATTATCGACGTTATTTATGTTTCAGGGCTACTGTACAGAATGTGTATGGTAATTGTACAGTACATGAATCAGGTTAGACTGCCAGACACACACACACACAGAGCCATCTATGACATTAGTTTGTTCAGTATAGAAAACTACTCTCAGCGGTCGACTTCCAGACTATGAGAAGCCCCGAAGCTATGGTGGTAACGTTCTACACCTTGTTGGTCTTTCATTCATCCCTCTTTGATGCAGGAGAACCTAAATAGCGTTCCAATTCTCTTTTCATTTTCTAGTTTACCGAAAAAGAACCCAAACACAACCAGGTCGCTCTAAAAGAAGGAACCGAATTTTGCTGTGTGTGTGTGTGTTGGGGGAAGCTGTCGTATGTAAACAAACACCTCGAGTTTTAGTTTTGCTACGGATCTAGACTCCCTTTCTCCCTCTTTCGTCCTCCTCTTTCTCCTACGTCTCCTCCTCCTCCTCCTCGGACTTCATCATTGCCTTCTCCATCCCCCCTTTCTCCGGCACCTCTTTCTCCTCGTACTATATCATCGCCTCCTCCTTCGTGTCAAAAGGACAAGATTCTTTACAGTATTGCAGCATTCATGACTCACCAGCCTTTGTCCTTACAAGAATACTGTTCCTTTATCCTCTCTCTCTCTCTACTCCTTTTCTATCGTCCTATTCTCTCTTTCTCTGTTATATGTCTCTCTCAATAACAATGACACTTCTTCTTTTCTCTTTGCTCATTTCTCTATCTTTCATATTGTTCTTACGTTCTTCATTTCTGTCTGTGTATTTATATGTCTGTCTGCGTGTCTGTCTCTCTCTTTGGCACCGTTAAATGCCTTCCTTCAAGAGGGAGTAATCAGCCTCGCCTAAAAAGTCTGAAAAGAAGTTAATTATGTCTTATGAGGAATATTCAGCCGTGTCCAATAACTGACTGATTGAAGCATTGACTCAGGAACCACATTGACCTACGGTACTGTACAAAGAAGAACATGTGATTGAACATCTAGTATAATGATTTTACGTATTATTTCAGGTAGTGATATGAGCCGACCAACACAAGTCGGCTGATTTCCACCAACATCAAGACCCGTCCCTGTGTTTGCTCGCCAAGACAAAGGTTGAGAGAACTTTCTTTATATGTTACTTAATGATGAAATAAAACGAGAGGTAGGGAGTCAGGGTTTTATTGTGGTGTTATACAGGTGTGAAGGACAAGAGAGAGAGAGAGAGAGAGAGAGAGAGAGAGAGAGAGAGAGAGAGAGAGAGAGAGGAATACAATGTAAAAATAATATAAACAAGTAAATTCACAGAAGTAAATAATTAACTAGAATCATAAACCATAAACAAAGAAGAATAAAAATAAGAAGAAGAAGAAGAAGAAGACCATACAGTAGGGAAGCAAGAGAGAAGGAGAGAATTACATAACACGGTAACTTATACTCTTAAGTATATAAGTATTCTAAGTAATCGTCACTTAAACTAATATAATTCAATGATACTAATGAGTTGTATCAGAGACTAACAGTTAGCTTGATGTGTGTGTGTGTGTGTGTGTGTGTGTGTGTAAGGAATAAATATTACACTGCATTTTTGAGCCTACAAACATCTCCTTTACACACACACACACACATATACCAACCTTAAACCTCTAACTTAAACCTTTTAAATGACCATAAAACTAAACCCACCCAAAAAATACCACAGATTAAATATACACACGTAATATAAATGAAATAAATTCTTAATATGAGAAACACTTATATAAGGTAACACTTTCTAATAACAATAATAATATAATGATAAAAGAAAATCACAAATATTATTTCTTTGGGGGGACGATGGTTTAATGGTTTAAGGTTCAACTGTTTTAGGATGTTGGTTTAGGGAGTAGTAGCAAGTGTTTGAGTTTAGGGATTTATTTGTATAATTTTCATGGAATTAAACCATCTTAAACCATCGTCCTCCAAAGGTTGTATAAAACATTCAATATATTGTATGTTAATTTGTCTTGGTTATTGTTGGCTTTTGTTGTTGTTATTGTTGTTGTTATTTTCTTCTTGTTCTTCATTTGTTTCTCTCTTCCTTTCCTGCTCTTCATCTCCATTTTCTCCTTCTTTCTCCATCCCCATTATCCCATTTTCTTTCTTTCTTCATTATCTCCCATTTATCATCCAACTTCCCTCCTTCTCTTCTTCACTCATTACCATCGTCTACTAGGTATTAGATGTGATGCAGTTCTCTGTACCTTCGTTTTGTATTTTCTTTCCTTCCTTCCTTCTTTCCTTCCTTCCTTCCTTCCTTCCTTCCTTCTCCACGACAAGAGGATGCCTCCTAGGTACTCAAGTATACCGTCAACTTTATAACAATACTTTCATTACTGACGTAGTTGCGCGTCTTGAGTGTCTCCTTAGTAAAACCTAACCCGACACACTCATAGTTATCACCAGAGTCAGGACGTCGCCAATGCCAGCCCGAACATAGCTGCTTCGGGTCCCACACACGGCTGGTTAGGTCTTCAGCCGGGAAGCCGTGGTCAAGTACGTTGATCCGGTGTTTGAGACGGAATGGCCAGTCCAGTGTGGCGTCGTAGTCACCTGTGGGAGAGATGTGGGTGGTGAGTGGTTGGGTGATGATGATGATGATGATGATGATGATGATGATGATGATGATGATGATGATGATGATGATGATGATGAGGAGGAGGAGGAGGAGGAGGAGGAGGAGGAGGGGAAGACAAAGACAAGGAGGTGGGGAGAGAAAGAGGAAGATAAGTTAAGTACAGTACTTCTCCCGTTGGACTTTTGTTTACACGTCAAGGTTAGGTTAGGTTAAGGGTAGACTCTCTCTCTTACCCTCAGTCAGGCCAACGTGGATGTAAACATTCTCCCCGCGCTGGTTGGGGTAGATCCTCATGTACATGCGGTAGCCGTCCTGGAACACGTAGAAACTCTCAGACCTGAGGGAGCGTCGCCACCCCCAGTTGTCCATCTTGTAGCCGATGTCTCCTACCCTCCAGTAGTACGTGAAGACCCTCCACCCGTCCTCCTGGTGCATCGTCGAGTTGTACCTGTAGATCTCCGTCAGGCGGGGGCTGTGATCCTGTAGTGGGAGAGTGGTGGTTAGGTTAGGTTAGGGTGTTCAATCATCAGGTGAAATAAATTGGGGTGTCTAATCCTCAGGTAATCCAAAATTTATCATAATTGTATTAATTATAACAGACAAAATATTATTCATAAATAACCAAACATATAATAATTTTTTTAAAGAGAAGAGTCTGAAATAATTTAAGGTAGAAGAAGTATACATGATAATACACCTCAACTAATTAAAGTATTTCATATAAGCGTCATTAATTAGTAAAGTTTTAGGATTAATTACCCCATAGGTTACTAATTACCCTAAGTCACCTTGTTATAGTGAAGAAAAAGACTAATTTACAACGTGTCTGACAGGAGTTGATTTTCCTTCATCGAACACAGTGGGAAAATCCGTCCTTTTGTGGAGATTAAGTTACACAAATGATTATATCCGGGTTACAATCTATAGAGAAATATTTAAAACTAAGAGAGAGAGAGAGAGAGAGAGAGAGAGAGAGAGACATCACCATTCGGCTCTGGACAATCCGATATCCCTCCAGCTGGTGAGCCATTTATGACGCTATCACTTTACCTGGGGAAGATCCTGAAGATATTTGATCAGAGTTTACGTGTATCTCTCTCTCTCTCTCTCTCTCTCTCTCTCTCTCTCTCTCTCTCTGAACTCAGCCCAAAAAAGAATCCCATTTTCCGCCTCAACTATGTCGTCGTCTATGATTGGTCGTTCAGGTTCACCTTCACGATCCCGGATGAGCCAATTAGAAAGCGTCATTTTCTCTCGTATTATGTTGTCTTGAAAGAACACTTGAACGAACTGTTAATCTTCAGTCTGGTGGAAAGACGCGCGTCTGTTGTGTGTGTGTGTGTGTGTGTGTGTGAACTCAGAGGCATCAACAACTAGGATGATTAAGTTTCTAGTGTCTTATTTATGTAAGGTATTTTCACAGGGAACAAGATACCATGGGAAAAAAACTCTATATTTACAAAACTTTCCACAATTTGGAAAACTAAACAAGGGGGTTAAATGCAATTTGTAAGGAGTATTTCTTGAGTATTTTCACAACGACCAGGACACGATGGAAAAGTACATTACTTCCCAAAGCTCCATCCCAACAAGTAAACACGAGATGAAATGACTTTTTTTGTGTACTCTGTCGTTTGTGTTGTGTACCCTGACGAAAAACAACATACGGAGGGAAAATAGTTTTTATTTGCTTTATCGTGAAGGAACTCAAAAGGAAAATACAAGATAAATAAGAAATAGTTTTGAGACGAAGGGGAAAGAAGAATGATGTGGGAAGGAGAGAAGAACAAAGGAAGGAGAGGGAAGAGGAAAATAATATGAGATGGAGAGAAGAAGAAGGAAAATATTTGAACAGAAACAAAATTATGTTAAGGCCACAAAATAGAAGTTAAGATGAATGTTAAGAAGAAGAAGAAGAAGTAATATTCATAAAGTGTTTGCTTACCTTTCCGTCTGGCCGAGCACAACAGTACACGGAAATAAAACACATTCTTATTCTTTCTGGCTGCTTGACCTAACAACAACACTCGTGGCGGCCACCATGACGTCTGAAGAACCGACCATCTTCATATGTTGCGGAAAATTATGTGGGAGGTTAAGGGTGAGACTCGAGTAAGAGGAGGAGGAATGTGTTTAAGGACCGGAATAACGAGATAAGTTGTTTGTTCTTGTTAGGCCAAGGTGTCAGCCACGTGGGCCTGGCGGCGATACGTTTACACTACCGGAACGACTCACACGAGATATTAACCACACAGTACCTCGTCAATGGAGATTCAAACCTTTAACAAATAGTCTAAGAACCCAGTGCGGGAGGTGACAATGAACGGTTAAGGAAGGAGAGAGGGAGGTTTTTTAATGCCAGATTCTCAGGTAATCGTAAGCTGATATTTCATTCTGTAAGTGGAGGCCTGAGAAGACACCCGAGCTGCTCATTTAAACTACAACACGAAAATTACTGCCAATTTAGGTATTGAAATTGCATTGAGACTCTACTGTAACTAGATACGTTCCTTATATCGCTAGTCAGGTGAGAGGAAGAGGCAGCGTCCCGACGATCACTAGGGAGAGAAAATCAGGAAATCCTAACCTTTGCTGACACTCTTCCCGCTCCTAGGAAATCTTATCTAACCTGAAATATTGGACAGATATTCTGAGTTTATGATTTCGTCTCTGCCTCTTGACTAGTCTTGTGTACGATACTTTAGTGTAATAACTTTGACTCTTGTATACGATATCTTGTGTGCGATAACTTACTGAAGCTTCATGTGTACGACAACTTGTGTAGAAGAACTTGGCCTCTTTACAACATAACTTAGCCTTGTGTGAAATAACAACCTTTTTAATATTATAACTTAGTTCATGGAGGAAGATAAATACCAAGATCATCGTACACCAACACAACACAACACCTCCCTTACGTAATCAGGGGTTAAATCATCTCTCAACTCACAAAAAATTTAATACTTTTTCGCGATACAAGCAAAAAAAAAAAAAAAGAAGGAAAAGGTTAAGTTTCATCCCAGAACGCGCGAAGGTCATATCGTATGACGTCATTCCTTAAATTCACTGCAGATGAGGGTTATCGATTTTCAGTCTGCGTCTGAGAGAAGGGTCTAGAGGCCGTACACTCTCATCTCTGTTATCGTTACAGTTGTTATAAATATTTACGTCTTGTGTTCCTGAATCTAATGCGAAGACAAATTGAATGTAGTTGATATAAGTATTGAGTTACTTCTATGCGTCTCCGTCTAACGCGTTATCATGAAACAGTCTCTCTCTCTCTCTCTCTCTCTCTCTCATACACGCTTATATCTACAAGCTATGGTCATGTGTTCAGCTAACTTATCCAGCTATCGCCTTGCGTATAGCTGGTTTCTTCCATGTATAGCTTCCTTCCCCAGCTAAGATCAGGCTCTATGTATGACCACGAGCCATGACTAAAAGTGGCCATAGCTTCTTTAGTCAGCTAAATGGCGTAAAATAAGATGTCTCTGTCACACGTCCCTACCATTGTTGTGAGAGAGAGAGAGAGAGAGAGAGAGAGACTATGCAGATGAGATCAGAATTGGGACACACACACACACACACACACACACACACACACACACACACACACACACACACACACACACGTGGTACAGTATTAGGAAAAGGAGGAGGAGAAGGAAGTAAAGGAGGAGATGAAGAAGAAACCGGTAAAGGAAGGAGAAGAAAAGAAGGAACGAAAGAAAGAGAAGAGGAAGAAGAAGAAGAAGGGAAAAGGGGAAAGAAACACACGTGAAAGAAAGAAGAGAAAATAAAAGAAGAAAAAAGGGGGAAGGAGATGGAAGAGAACGAACCATTACTGAAAGAAACAGTTCGATTATCTTCCTTTATGGAGATGGTGACTGGCCTGAGATATGTTGTATGAAGAGGCCAGGGGCTTGTTCATTATCTGCCTGTCTGTCTCCTTTCCGTCAATAACTCTCTATCAACACCACCTGTGACTCACCTCCCTCAACACCACCTGTGACTCACCTCCCTCAACACCACCTGTGACTCACCTCCCTCAACACCACCTGTGACTCACCTCCCTCAACACCACCTGTGACTCACCTCCCTCACCTCTCACCTCACCTGTGACTCACCTCCCTCAACACCACCTGTGACTCACCTCCCTCAACACCACCTGTGACTCACCTCCCTCAACACCACCTGTGACTCACCTCCCTCAACACCACCTGTGACTCACCTCGCCCTCCTCGTTATAGTCACCGTCTTCATAGTCAGCGGCCTCGGGTTCGTCCTCTGGGTGGTAGTCGTTAGAGGTCGCCCCGCCCACTGACCCGCCCCTGAGGATGGACCAAGCAGCAGGAGAAATAGATCTTTAATCTTTGAAAGTCAGTGATCTTAACCTAACCTAACCTAACCTGACCTGACCTGACCTGACCTGACCAACATCCAGGCAGCGTTAAGAAGTTTAATCAATCAAGTGACATAAGCTAGGGTGTCTAATCTTCATGTGATACAAAATCTGATAATATTGTACAGTAAAAAGATTAACTTATAAACTTCAGGATACATTGACAGCCAATTAAATAAGCTTAACGCGGAAATAGTTACCTGCGCATAAGAGTCCATAAGCTTACCTACACCTAAGAGCATAAGAGGATAACACGATATCGATATTTCCGGGTAAATTGGTGCAGTAATGAGGTGATGTTTATCGTTTGACCACCGGTGAAGAATCAAGTTCATTTTAACCGCAGTGGGAGCTTTCTGAAGGCTCTTACTGAAAAATACTGTGGCTTTTTGGTTTTGTTTCAGAATTCGTCATCTTGTTATATAATATTGTCAACTGTGTTTGGTGTAATGTTCCAGATCGCTTTGAGGAAGGGAACAAAGACTGTGAACACTGGACTAGTTCAGACTTTGATCCAGTGAAGGAATTCAGTCTTTTCGGCGCTGCAGGAGTTTACCTACAAACATATTAAGGAATAAATCACAATATTGCCACACGGATCAGGTAAGCTTTGGAAGACTTATCGTTAACAAGTTATTGACTGTGTGATGCTTCAGGCTGACGATATTCATTACAAAGGTGGACTTGTGATCAAAGTTTGTCTTTTCCAGGTTTCACATAGTCAAAGTCTTGAACCCACCCTGGAAGACGAGTTACCGGTAAATATCACTTTAAATGTATATGAGTGATGACATCTGGAGCCGCTCGTCACGGTTTTTGCTCTCGTTTCACCCTTTAATATTTTCATCTTTAAAAACCTTCGTTCACCGGCACAGTGAGACCAAGAGATAATGTATTATAAGAACAATTTCCACTTATGTCTACTTATGTTTAAAAGATTAACGATATATGATCTTTTAACTGCTACCATCTACGTAACCAGCAGCATATAATGTGAACTGAAGTATCTGAAGAAAAAACCCCAGTGTGTCAACGTTACACTGTTGGAGGCCCTCAACTTGACGCTTCAGCCTCAAGAATAATCCTCCACTGTTTATAGACGACATAAATTCCACAGAACAATATCTTTTTTTCCTTCACAGTTTTTGAAATTCTCGCCCAAAACACGAGCCAGTTACGAGAGGCACCAAAGGCTGCCTCGACTCATGATCAGGAGATAATTGACCTTATTAGCAGCCATGATCATTTACCCTGGCAGAAAACAGTGAATAAAGAGACAGCTAAAACACCATCAAAAATGTAATGTTTCTGGTGCCAAATTACGCCATTTAGTGACCTAAGTTACGACTCTGACACAAAACATGGCGCTTGTAATCTTCTTATATTCTGGGAACATCATTACGGACCGTTCTGTACAACCTCCTCTTTCCCAACCCGGTCTCAGTGCTGTACGAGAGTTGGGATGACTGTTCAGGACAGCTCACATGAAAGATGATGTGTGCTGGCGGACGTATGACTCACTTTTTTTAATCCATCTTATACGTAACTAACCTCAAGGAACCATCTCGTCTTATGCCAAGGTTATAAGATGCTAAAAAAGAGAACAAATCATCCTCCCCATCCCCTCTTCACTTCCCTCCTCCTTCATCTTCCTCCCCTTCATCTTCCTCCCCTTCATCTTCCTCCTCCTTCATCTTCTTGCCCTCCTCTTCCTCCCCTCCTCTTCCTCCCCTCCTCTTCCTACCCTCCCTTTCCTCTCCCCCCCATCATAGGTATCCCTTATAACGTTATTTCATATACCGTAGTCATGTTTACTACCTGTTCCTCACTCTCCTCCTCTCTCTCTCCCATCTCCCAATTTCCTCCTCTCCATTCTACCTCTATCTCTCTCCTCTACCTCTCTCACCTAATGACTCTGCTAGTTTGATGTAGCGTTTATTCCCTTGTTTATCTCTCTCTCTCTTCCTCTCTCTTTCTCTCTCTGCTTATTCTCTCTTTCCTTCTCTCTTCCCCTCTCAACTGAGGACCCTGGTAGCCCAGGGTAAATTGCCCTAATTGTCTCTCTCTCCCTCTTACCTCCCCTTCCTCTCTCCCTCTCACCTCTCCCTTCCTCTCTCCTTCTCACCTCTCCCTTCCTCTCACCTCTCCCTTTTCTCTCTCCCTCTCACCTAATATTCCTGTCAACTTGATCAAGTGGGTTTTGCTCCACTTGTCCCTCCGTCTTTCTCTAACTTCCCCCACCAAAATCTCCCCTACACTCCCCACCAACCATCTCTATCCCATCAAAACTTCCCTACTCTCCCCACCAAACTTCCCTACTCCCCACACCAACCCCCCATCCCCACCAACCCCACCCCACCCCCAACAACCCCCGTCTCTCACCTGATGACCCTAATAGCTTGCCGTAGTTTGCCGTGGTGTTTCTTGATCTGTTTGTCTTGGTTTCTCAGTTGATCCTCAATGTTCAGAACCATTGTCTTGAGAACATTGAACTGATCCACCACTTGTTTCTCCAGCGTTGTAAACCTCTCGTTCAGTTCACCTGCAGGAAGTGATGAACAGGTGAGAAAGTGATGAACAGGTGAGGAAACACAACATGATTGACTGAACACCCCCCCCCCACACGATATATATATACTTCCCAAGAGACGAAAATGAGAGAAAAAATATATATATTCTCCACGTGGCACCTGAGCTGTTGACACTCTGAGAGAAGATTTTTCACCTCATTAAAGGTTCAACCAGCGTGAGATATAACTATTTACTTAATGTTCCTCGTATAACACCGCTCTCTGTCACCCTTACACCACCAGCCTCGTATCACATGGAGAGTAGCCCTTCTAGTTACCTGATGATTAAACACTCTAATGCTATCTTGGGGTGTTGTGTTGTGTTGTGTTGTGTTGTGTTGTGTTGTGTTGTGTTGTGTTGTGTTGTGTTGTGTTGTGCTGTGTTGTGCTGTACTGTGTTGTGTTGTGTTGTGTTGTGCTGTGCTGTGTTGTGTTGTGTTGTGTTGTGTTGTGTTGTGTTGTGTTAGGTTAGGTGAGAGATAATTGATCATCAGGTGAGGTAAGCTAGGGTGTCTAATCTTCATGTGTTACCTTATATATGACATACTGCATTAATCAAGGGATGACAACTTCTGTTTACATAATGTATATGGCATACTTCGGCTTCATGTATTATTAATGAAAGATAAAGACGATTTCCGGTCAATACAATGCTATTCCACGTTCTATAAATATCTCATTGTTTCCATCAACGTCAATCTTCCTTCAACAATGATGACAGGTGGAAAAAACTAAACATCTAGAGCGCTCTTTCTGTTATCGTAAAATCTGATGTAAGAAAGGCGGGTTGAATATATCCTCCCTAGTTATGAATGGTGGGAGAGACACGTTTTTATTGGTTGTTTAACTCCTGACGTCATGGAGAGGGAGAACCAATGGTGGGAGAGTCACGTCTTAGTTGCTTGTTTAACTCCTGACGTCACGGAAAGAGAGAGCCAATGAGGAGACAGAACAGTATAATGGGGAGGGATATTGTGGGACAGTGTTGCCTGATTCGGACCTGCTATATTTAGGACCAGAATTTGCAATTTGCAAATGGAAACCGAACTACCACCCCTGGCAGTACGAGTCAAGCAGGTGACAGCCGGTCTCCTCGCCAAAATCTGTAGAGCAGACAAGCCCACAGTTGCCAAAATTCGAATCAGTGCCTCTCTCCACCTCGACCACAGAGTGCGAGGGGCCACCTGGTCGCACGAGGCAAGCGAGGTTATCCGACACCTGCAAGCAGAAACACTCGTCAAGAACAACCAAGACACACGAGACAATGGTTACGCTGTTCCTCCACCATGGAGCCCTCCACCAGCCACACTCAAAATTACCGACCTAGGCGATAGTAAAGCCAACCTCCAGAAGGAGGACCTCAAAAAAATAACTTTCGAAGCCACAGCCACCGAGACACCGGCTGATGCAGCATCATACTTCACAGACGGCTCGGTGGACCCAAAACATCATACATCCGGAGCGGCCTTCTACACCCAAGGTCAGACCCTCCAATGGAGACTCCAACGACTGCTCCACCCTACAAACAGAGCTGGTAGCAATCTCAAAGGCCCTACAACACGCTGCAACACAACACAACAAGTCCATCATAATTCACACGGACTCGAAATCGGCCATGCAGGCGCTGCAACACAGTCAACCAAGCGACAACGTCCACATCATTACCTCGATCCTCGAGCAGCTACAGGTATTCCAAAGCCAAAACCGTCCAGTCGTCTTACACTGGATTCCCAGTCATGTCGGGATCGGAGGAAACGACGTGGCAGACGAAGCAGCCAAGGCAGCTACACGTTCTAGTAGCGTACACATCCAAGTTCCAGCAAGTGTGCAACAGATCAAGAATCACCTCAGAAAGACTAGCAAGCTCCACATCAAAAAGAGCTTCCTTCACGCATTCAACGCTGGTTCCCAATCAGCCAAATGGTACCTGGCGGCCACAAAAGGGGAACCACCTTTCGCTGACAAGAAAACTCCAAGACAAACCCAAGTCAGCCTTCATCGACTACGACTAGGGTACAAGTGCTCCTGGCAGATGATCGGAAATGACGTCATGGAATGCACCTACTGTCAGGAGCCAGCAGCCAACCCACTTGAACACTATCTCCTCGACTGCGAGGTCACACAAAGCCTCCGAAACAGAACTCAAATCTCCCAAGAAACACACACAACACCAGCAGCCACTCTAACCCGAAAGGCCCATACAGACCACATTCACCACCTACTCCGGGTCATCACACGATACCCACCACCCAGATAGCTTAGAAAGCATCCTCTCCCAGCAAGTGCGGACCCCAGTTCGGGGGGCGCGCCACTCGGAAACTGACCACGTCCAAGAGTTGGGGTTGGTGGTAAGCGTCCACTGATCGGGGGTCCGCTCACACTTGCAACCTGCAGTATCCTTCCAATCTGCAGGTGGGACCACCTCCAATCCCAATCCGGTCTGGCTGCTCCTGGAGCTCCAGCCGGAACCACCAAACGGGCCGCCTATAGGCAAAGGCCCGTGTCGGACTATGGTCCGACAATCTCAACAACAACAACAACAACGTTGTATTGTGAAGACAAGCTAGACGTATGGCCATACACTATATAGCCCCACTACCAAACATACCATACGAATAACTCACCTCTTATTTTCTTACCACTAACGCCTTCACTCTTCTTCATCAACAACTCTATTCATACCAGTATTATTTTTCTCTTTATCTCCTCTTCTCATTCACTCTCCCTCTTTATCTTCCTACACGTTAGTTCTCCTCCATCACTCACCTCTCATCACCTCCCTCGCTGTACCCAATAATCTGTAACCATCATCGATCAATCACTTTAGTCACCACTGACAAGAATTAATTCTTTCCCCGTGTTATCGTACAGCAGTCACATCCATCCATCATTCTTTTGGGGTAATAAGTAAGAGCTTTTCCTTTCGTTTTTAACTTTAATAATTGTTCTCTCTCTCTCTCTCTCTCTCTCTCTCTACCTCTCTCTACCCCTAGTCTCCCCTATACCCCTGTATGTCCAGTCGTACATAATCTAATATACTATAGGAATAGCCATGTGTCTGTCTGTCTGTCTGTTCTGGCCAGCCGAAACGGCACAATCGTTTTTCATCAAACTTGGTGGAAAAATCGCAAAAAATTCGTAGAGTGGAACAAACCTGGTCCCATGTCGATGGTTTCTTTAGGGAGGCTTTAATTAAACATTTTATTTAAGCTGGAAAATGATGAAAGTCTACGGCCTTGGCGCACCCTCATTCGCTGTACGCTGTCAGCTGGACGGCAGTTACGCTCTGGCCAAGCACGAGCGTTCAAACTTTCACCGGGCATGAAGGTCCCGCGATCACTTGTATATTAATATACAAAGGGACTTCACCTCAAGGTCTTAAATGTTGTATGTGTTTTTCCTTCCTTTCCGTGTGCTGAATGTTGCAATGTTGTCCTCTAGCATTTGTATTGTATATTTATATAGGAACATAGAACATTCAGATTTATGTTGACTGAGAGGGACATTTCCTTGAGTCTTGAGTGTTGAATGTTGTTCGTCATACTGTGACAAGTTGCATTTAAAATTAGCCTATACGATTAATGTGAACGTTGAACGCTGTATGTGGATACTCATACCCGTGTTGACTATTATGAAGGATTATATGGAAAGATAAATTATTTTTTCCCTAATATTCATTGTTTTTTTTGGTCTTTGTAGTTCCCTTACGTCTGCAAAGTCCTAGACACGTCAGCGAGGCATTGTGAGATAGTGCGCGTCGCCCTGTTTGTGTCTTCTACTTTTTTGTGACCTGAGAACTCTTACACGATGGGAAGGATCGTCTTGAAACTTACCAGAGGACAATACATGCCTTCCCTTCAGCTTATTATATCTTACTGGCGAGCTTAAGCCTGAGGGCGTTAGGGGATATAACGCAGCTTCGACTTTTAATGCAGTGACTGGTTTTTTTCTTCGCCATTGTTTAGAATTAATGAAGTGTTGACCAGTTGTGGATCCCGGATGAGAATTTAATGTCGATCGTCCTTGTGGTTTTATTTTAATGTCTGCTTCTTCTATACCCCGCCCATGCTCGCTGATACTCATCCCACACATGCAGATACCCTGCCCAATCATGCAGATACCCTGCCCAGTGCCCACTCATGTTAATACCCCGCCCACTCATGTTAATACCCCGCCCACTCATGCTGCTCTTCGCATTCATGAAAGGAGTAACACTTAAGCTTATTCTAATATAAACTTAATAACACACACACACACACACACACACGTACGTACACCCTCACACACACACACACACACACACACACGTACACACACACACACACACACACACGTACACACACCACACACACACACACACACACGTACGTACACCCTCACACACACACACACACACACACAAGACTCCGGCATATAGACTCCCAACAATCAGAATTCCTGTTACTAATATTGGAAACAAAGACACAACTCGTCCCTCAACGTAAAAAAGAAGAGTCCCTCATAAACCAACTTTTTCCTATTTCTTCCCCATCCAATCGTGCCAAGAACTACCTCCCCATAAAATAGATCACAGCTTTGAATAGGGAAAAAAACCTCACACAACATTTTATCTCAGTCCAATCAGGTTGGAGTTGGGTCGAGGCGGAGGTGAATGCTGGCAAAGTATTGAATTTGAGAGTTGTAACATCAATAAGTATTCTTTCAGTGGTGTGTGGCGCCTCTTTCAGGATAAGATTTTGTAATTATTTGAAGTCGGTTGAATTTGACGTGTGTACTTTCGTATTCGAGGTTATTATAAATTAACAGAATGGTAAATAGAATGGTAAATATATGCAGGTATTATGTGTAAAAATATGTGCTTAGTGGAGATAGTCTATTAGCCCCTTGTGTACTGAATCCCGTGTGAGCTAAATAAAAGTTGCGCCTGTGTACTGAAGGAACATGAGACACCTACACCAAGGTTCGGTTCGGTTAGGTTAGGTTGTAACCTGTGTGTTGTTTTTCGATTACTCTGCCTGACCCATGACCCGTGAGACGAGGACTGTTCGTATGTTGACCTGATTTATTACGAGGAGATTCTGATGTCATGAATCTTTTGAAAATTGACACCGGTTTAATTAGATTTTCACCTCCTACTGTGCAACTCCAGTCTCTCTTTGTCTGTCTGTCTGTCTCTTCTCTCTCTCTCTCTCTCTCTCTCTCTAGCTCTCTTTTCCCTTTCTCTATCTGTTTGTGGGAGGGAAGTGCGGGTGGGTGGTGGTGAGGGATGGAGAGGCAGAGAATAAAATAGTGACCCTTTTAAACTTTTGCCAATCAACTCATCAACTTGGTCAGAAAATTGGTTCTTGGAGTCGACTGTAATATATGACTGCCTCGCTGACCGGTGTTAACTGTAGGTCTGGGATAGACATACTGGTGTTAACTGTAAGTCCTGTTTATATCAACCAGTCAATAGAAACTTGGTCTTAGTGACTGGTCAAATGGGCTTCAGTCCTAAATCCCAGTCTAATAAGCTTTACATCCAATGGGCCCCAATCCTTATGGTTAGATTACGTTGGGATCTATTAACACCAGGGCCCATTAGCCATGAAACTCTTAAGCAGGACGAACAAGAGATAATATCGTAAAAAGAATAAGAAACAAGTTGTCTTTCTGTTCAGTCATAATATATCCTCTGGTGAAAAGACCTGAGTCTCATTAGTGGTGAGAATGTGACTTATAGATACAATAATTTATTTTAATGTCTCCCATAACTCATTCTTAATTATCTTATGTAAAAACATTCCTTAGAAACTTCCTTATTATCGTTTCGTCTTAAACATCATTCATCATCACCTGCCTTGTGTTAGTTATTGTTAAATTCCTTCATTTCCTCTACATGATGTTTTCGTCTTTCAGCTGATCATCGTTTGAGTAGGGCAGATAGTGTTATTTATACGTGGTCTATACACTCACCATAATAACCCTTAAGCCCTGTTATGTAAAGGTCACATTAAGTGTTTGTTACTCACGTGGGTTACAGACTCCCTGAAGAACCCTGTTGGCGGTACTCTGGGCGGTAGATATTAGGTCTCGGGTTGATATCCTGCAGTAGGAGAGGGACTGTACTTCAGAGCCGGAGTTTTGTACTGTTGAAGGAAGAAGAGTGTTAGTTAGTAGCCGAGAGAGAGGGATGGAAGGACAGGGAGAAGGGTAGGAGAGGGAGAAGGGGAGGAGAGGGAGAGGAAGGAGGGAGAGATGGAGGGGGAGAAGGAGAGGAAGGAGGGAGAGATGGAGGGGGAGAAGGAGAGGAAGGAGGGAGATGGAGGGGGAGAAGGATGGAGGGGGAGAAGGAGAGGAAGGAGGGAGAGATGGAGGGGAGAAGGAGAGGAGGGAGAGATGGAGGGGGAGAAGGAGAGAGATGGAGGGGGAGAGGAGAGGATGGAGGGGAGGAAGGAGAAGGAGAGGAAGGAGAGATGGAGGGGAGAAGGAGAGAAGGAGGGAGAGATGAAGGGGAGAAGGAGAGGAAGGAGGGAGAGATGGAGGGGGAGAAGGAGAGGAGGGAGAGATGGAGGGGAGAAGGAGAGGAGAGATGGAGGGGAGAAGGAGAGGAAGGAGGGAGAGATGGAGGGGAGAAGGAGAGGAAGGAGGGGAGAGATGGAGGGGAGATGGAGGAGAGGAGAGGAGGGAGGAGGGGAGAAGGAGAGGAAGGAGGGAGAGATGGAGGGGAGAAGAGAGGAGGGAAGGAAGGGAGAGGAAGGAGGGGAGTGGAGGGGGAGAAGGAGAGGAAGGAGGGAGAGATGGAGGGGGAGAAGAGAGGAAGGAGGGAGAGATGGAGGGGGAGAAGGAGAGGAAGGAGGGAGTGGAAGAGAGAAAGGAGGGGAGGGAAGGAGAGGAAGGAGGGGAGTGGAAGGAGAAGGAGAGGAAGGAGGGAGATGGAGGGAAGAGGAAGGAGGGAGAGATGGAGGGGGAAGGAGAGGAAGGAGGGAGAGATGGAGGGGAGAAGGAGAGGAAGGAGGGAGAGATGGAGGGAGGAGGAAGGATGGAGAGATGGAGGGGAGAAGGAAAAGAAGGAGGGGAGAGGAAGGAGAAGGGGGGAGTGGGATATGAAAGAGAGAAAGAATGCAAAGGAAAGAGAGGGAAAGGGAGGGAGCGAAAGAAGGGGTATAAGGAAGAACGAAGACATCCTCCTGCCCTCCCCTTCCTCCCTCCTTCCCTCTCCTTCCTCCTTCCTTAACTTTTATCCCTCTCATCCCTCCCAATCACCCTCCCTACCCTCTCCCTCCTATACATTCCTCCCTCCCTTCTCTCCCCTCCCTCTCACCATTCCCCAGGGACCACCACTTAGCACGCCCCTGGAACCAAAGTGGAAAAAAACAATGGCCAATGAAGATCTTATCTGGAGTCCCCCCCCCCCTACACACACACACACACCTCGTTGAGACATAAAGCCAGGTGTGATCAGGCAACTTCCTCAAAGGGTTAAATGGTAATGAGGTAAGGTGGAGGTAAACATGGCTGCTACGTTAACGCTTGGGGTGACACTTCCTGGGTGAGACAGAGAGTTTACACCCTTTGAACAGGTAAGTGCCTCAAGGGTTAAGACATAGGTGTTATTCAGACTTCTTCCCTGGAAAGGATTCATTAAAATTTCTCTCATATCTTGTCAAGTGTATACCTAGTGAGTAATTTAAGCCAGAGAAAGCCTAAGAGGTGTTCACTTTAAGACCCTACTGCCACTTAGAAGCTTCAGAACTTAACTATAATAAAAAAAGCCAAAATAATATTCAGTAATATTACAAAATAAAAATAAGTTGTTTTCTTTGATAATATTTTCAATTTAGGATTAAAATTGAGAATGTTTACGATCGACGCCAAATTCTTTCAGCGTGTAGAGGAAAATAGTGTCCCGATGCTGCTGAAGAGTTTGGTAATGAATATTACTCATAAATAAAGTAATAAAAATGCTAATAACTGGCTGGATTTAAACTAAAGTAGACAAATATGTTTAAAATTAGCATGGGAATTACGCTAAAATTATGCGTTAAATAAATTCACTTGGCAGCAGTTAGGAGATCAAATTAATGGATATATTCTTTTACAAACACACACACACACACACAATTACCAAAAATGCTAATGAATGAGCTATTTAAAGGTTTGAATATGTTAGAGTGAAGTTTATCCAGTAAGGTTAATGTACCACGAAATTACATGTGTGGGAGCTGTGTGTGTGTATGTGTGTGTGTGTGTGTATGTGTGTGTGTGTGTATGTGTGTGTGTATGTGTGTGTATGTGTGTGTGTGTGTGCGTGTGTGTGTGTGTGTGTGTTAATTAAAGGTCTATATATATGTATGTGTGTACGTATATCGTGTGTGCGTTTTAGAAGTGAGGGCGTGTGTAAGTGAAGTGATCTAGTGAGGGGAGAGAGTGAGGGGGAATCTCTGTGAAGTTGTTACCTGGTGTGTGGGTATAATTATAGCCTGTTGGTCTTGGCAGATGGTCATGCAGTCAATGGTCTTCTTTCTGTGTACAGTAGTTGGTTCTCTCTCTGGGAAATGACATACTAATGAGGCACTTGCTTATTTTTTGCCAGATGTAGTAGAAGATGATGAGGAAGGGGAAGGGAAGGAGGAGAGAGAAGGTGAGGAGGAAGGAGAAGAAGAAGAAAGTGAGGAAGCAAAAGAGGAGGAAGGAGAAGAAGAGGAGGAGGAGGAGGAGGAGGGGGAGGAGCTGTCCTCTCACCTAAAAAGGGCAAGTTACAGAGAAGTAAACTTACTCTTTAGTGACCATATTCTCTCTTTTACTCTCTCTCTTTCTCTTACACTAACTCACTAGCGCACACACCAACACCCACATATGCATCACGTAGTGCATATACACATGATCTTCAGCTCTCATGGGTGAGGCCGTACTCGGCGCTTCTCCACAAAGGCAGTCGTGGTCTTTCAGATCATGGAGACAGCTGACAGCCCCGTCTGTCACCGCCCCCTCTCCCCCACCTTCTCCTCCCCACCAGGGTTCATCAACATGCTTCCACCAACAACACAGAGCAAAGATCGACCATCAACCCACAACTGATAAACACAAGTGACAATTTTAACTCATACAGCATATCTACTTTGTTATGACTCAGAAACTTGCACATACTAACAAACATCAAAGTGAAGGAGGATGTTACTAAGCCCCTTGATAACTCGGTTAATCTCTGTTCCGTCAGACATTGTATTCAAAAGGTTTATGACGACTTATCAGGAAGTGACTTACCTAGTTGGTTGAACATGGATTCGAGACTGTCTGCAGCGCTGTGCTGGGCTGTGCAGTAGACCACAGCACACACAGCGGCCACGAACACACGCAGGTAGAGGCGCTCACCCCACATCCTCACCATGATGGACACTAGTGAGTCTCAGGAGCCGAAGGACACGAGCGACACCACGACCCGAGAGAGTATGCAAAGCACTGTCTCAACTCAACTATTTAACCCAAAGTTTCATCTATCAGTTTTATTTCAAGTCTTGTCTCTTTCACCAGGTTGAAGTTCAACTTTTCTCACTGTCTGTTCAATTAGAGAATCTTCTTAGTGTACATTAGACCGAGCAAAGTTCTGTCTCTCTTGGGTGAGGAGAAGTACTGAGTGGCACTGCTTGTGACTTGAGTCTTGAGAGGAGGGAGGAATACTACGATGCCAGAGAGCGCGACCCACTGACGAAGGAGATGCCAGTGACGCGCGTATCTTACAAGTGATGACGCCCTGGGTGTCCTCACCCCGACCTGGCACCGTGGCACGCCTCAGTGGCGCCACCCACGCCCAGGTGCCTCTCTCCGACCACCAATGGTGCCCCACAACTAGCGGCCCAAGGTTGATGCCCCACGACTGGTGACCCACGACTAGCGGCCCAAGGTTGATGACCCACGACTAGCGGCCCAAGGTTGATGACCCACGACTGGTGACCCACGACTGGTGACCCTCTGTGTTTACAAGTTATCAAACCTGACTCCATCACAACTTGCGATAATGTTTACACCAACTGCAGGAACTTGTTATCACGCTACGATCATACACAGGAACTACACAAAAATGTTAAATCTCTATTGAATCTTAACTCAACATTTCATCAGTACTATGAATGGTCTCATCTAATGGTTGTTGACATAAACTAACGTCATAATTATTTTTAAAGTTAATATCGGTTTTTCTGGTCCTAATACGACTTGACCTTAATCCTAATAACATACGGTAGTTACATTAGGTTCACTTAGGTTAGGTTTGGACCGTAATAGGACTGGGGTCTAATTGGACTGGGGTCTAATAGGACTGGGGTCTAATAGGACTGGGGTCTATTAGGCCTGGGGCCAATTTGATTAGTTGGTTAGTTCTCTCCGGGGAGTGATGGACAGCGAGCCACTCCACCCCTCCTCCTCAGCCCACTCCACCCCTCCCCCTACTCGTCCACCCCTTCCTCGTGGTGTGTGTCAAAGGGAGTGATGATATAAAAACAAATAGCGTTCCAGGAAATGTTGTTGTGCTGAGAGTGGCGCCCCTCTCTCTCTCTCTCTCTCTCTCTCTCTCTCTCTCTCTCTCTGTCTGTCCTGTCTCTCTCTCTGTCTCTCTGTCTTTCTCTCTCAACATATCTAGTTCCAACACGTTATTTAATTACACCCCACATTTAAAATTACTTATGTACCTGTAATTAAGATTTGTTATACAGGCAAACCCGTGTCACTCAGCAGGTAAAGGGTATATATATATATATATATATATATATATATATATATATATATATATATATATATATATATATATATATATATATATATATATATATATATATATATATATATATATATATATATATATAAATGATGGGAATTCGCAATTTAATAAATTTTCCTTCACGTGGCTGTGTGCAACTAAGCTTGCTTCAGGGTACATGAGCTTAGTTCAGGGGAGATGAACTTATGTCAGGGAGCAGGAGTTGTGGTTCTCGTTGTCACGTGCGACTACTACTACTACTACTACTACTACTACTACTACTACTACTACTACTAACCTTACCTCAGCTGAGTCCTTGCCACTAGTTACTCTTTCATTAATCTTTAACACAATATTTTCCAACCAATGTGATAACCATCATACAATCCGGGTCAGGTAGTGGAGTTAAACAGCACCACACCTCATATTTCCGAGTCATAATGAACACTTACGGGTCATAAAAGTACAGTAAAGGTAAATTTACAGAAGTTATTTATTGTATCTTCATGTAGGTTTGATATGAATGTTAGTATTAATGTTATCGTGAAGCTTTCCAAGTATCTACATGAAAATTCACTGTCATCTAGACAAACAAACAAACAAAGAAGCAAACAAACAAACAAAGAAGCAAACAAACAAACAAACAAACAAAGAAGCAAACCATCAAACAAACAAACAAACACATCTAGTTATATAAAGTATGTTGTAAGGTTTACTAATATTTATAATAATCAATAAAAGTTTTTATTTAGTGTGAAGGAGTTTTTTGACCTGGACTCAGTAAAGTTTCTTGATAGATTAAAACATCAACAACGAGATATAAAATATTCACAGGTATTTAAGATTAATTAATATTTATATAAGAACACATTATTAAAAGGTGTTCACAATATCATCTCCATTAACCGTCTGTCTGTCTGTCTGTCTGTGAGCAAATAGTTTCGGTTGAAGTTCGTCCCATTGAGGCCTTTAGAGTTAAGCCTGACACGTACCGGTACTGGACAAGTATTGCTTTTATACTGGAGTAAACCCGTTAACACTAGGGGTGAACTGTGCCTCTGTGGGTAATGTTGTTAACGGGTGTCATGGTGGCGTCGTCCCAGGGGCAGCAGCGGCAAGAGCCAGGTGATAAACGTCATCAGATTTATTCCCTAACTCACTTTCCAGGACACAGACTGACATACACACGAACTAAACACAAACTCGTACGGTATACATGATCTAAAATACACCCATATACATAACAAAATAATACACATACATGTATATTATGATTCATAAACAAAGGAGCATACTCGATTTGACACACACACACAGACACACACACAGACACAGACACAGACACAGACACACACACTGACCGGTGGTAGTAGTGGTGTATTAGTGGTAATGGTGGTGGTAATGGTGGTGGTGGTGGTGGTGGTGGTGGTGGTGGTGGTGGTGGTGGTGGTGGTGGTAGGTGGTGGTGGTAGGGTTGGTTATGGTGGTGTTGGTGGTAGTAGGCGTGGTGGTGGTGGTGGTTGTGGTGGTGGTGGTATGGTGGTAGTGGTTGGTGGTGGCGTGGTGGTGATGGTGGTAGTATGGTGGTGGTGGTAGTAGTGGTGGTGGTGGTAGTAGTGGTGGTGGTGTTGGTGGTAGTAGTGGTGTTGGTGGTAGTGGTGGTGATGGGAAAGGTTCATTGACACTCGTTAACGGAGAGGAGGTCAAGTAAAAACCTTCTTTTGTACGGGTATGTGAGAGAGGCAACTGATCTACCGTGTGTGTGTGAGGGTATTGCGTGCTCAGGTCGTCTCAGAACGAAATGGCGGGTTTGTTTGTGTCACAATAAGGCGTCAGGTCGGTGTTGACGCGCCAGCAGACACCCGGAAGGTCGACGGCTCGCCAAAGTCAACAGGAGAGAGTCAAGCAGCGGCAGTGACAAAAGCCCCCCCCCCCCGCGTCACCAGCCCTACACTACTGGCGCAGGTACTTCACTCCAGCCTCCCTCTAATGTGACACTGGCAGCCCAGATCACTGTAGGCTTATCAACATCCTCCCTCCCTGGCCTGATAGTGGCACCCTTGATTCTCCTGGGTATGACCACGGCCCTCCAGTAAGCGTGGCCATCATGGCACTGGCACCCCCTGAATCTACCGAGAACTGGAAACAGCTCCCCCTTCCGTTAGCCCTGACAACAACCCCCGGGGTGTCACTGGCACCAATAAGAGGCTCTGGAGAAACAAGATCACCTCTATATTTACTTCTGGTAATTAGCCAAACATGTTGTTTGTGAGACGCGGGGGTAACGACACACTCAACCCATAATATATATATATATATATATATATATATATATATATATATATATATATATATATATATATATATATATATATATATATATATATATATATATATATATATATATATATATATATATATATGCTCATACGAACCAAAGAAATGGTACACACAGTCACATACATGTAAAGCAGACAGACAGACAGACAGACAGACAGAATACTCTGTCTTCTCTCGTAACTTTGAACAATAGATTTAAAACACCGACCTTATAAAAGTTGTTGATCACAATTAGTGGTTTACAAAATTATTAAATTAAGTTACAAACGAGTTTTTCTTTAAAAGTTACTTGTACGTGATGGAGAGACTCGTTAAACATAGCTGGAGCTTCATACGAGTCCCACTGAAGGATATATTTGGAAACATTTACCATGATGACTGCAACACTTGTCTTATTTCTCTGCAGTTTGTATTGTTTTACAAAATGGGTTTGTTAGAGAGGGACGCTTGTTAAGTGGTTATGGTAAGTTCTTAAGATGAGTCAACTTTATATTTTTTCAAGTAATATTAAAATTTTTGTAGGAAACTGTGTGTGTGTGTGTGTGTGTGTGTGTGTGTGTGTGTGTGTGTGTGTCCCATTTCCTCTGATGGATGGCATCATAATACCGTAGACTTACCAAGGAAGCCGCGGGAAAGGAAGAAGAAAAGGAAGAGGAAGAGGAGGAGGAGGAGGAGGAGATGTGAAAATTGCTTCTGTCAAATAGTGATGATAAATTACTGTCCCCCACTCCAGGTCACCAACTCTTAATGCCATCTCCTTAGCTAATTAATTTCTCCCTTTTTCTCGTGTACTCATTTTTGCTGTTAATCCTCCCGTTATCATTAATTATTACCAAATGTTTCCTGTCCTCAGTTCATGATTCAAACTGTGGGGAGAATTGTTGTGTATTACTGTGGTCTGTAGAGAGTCATTTGAGGTGAAGAGAAGAGGGGGAGATACCGTGGTCAAATTCATCCTTTCTTACCCTCTCCCCACCACTGTTACCCTCCCCACCACTCTTACCCTCCCCCACCACTCTTACCCTCCCCACCACTGCTACCCTCCCCACCACTCTTACCTCCCCCACCACTCTACCCTCCCCCACCACTCTTACTCCCACACCACTCTTCCACTCCCCACCACTCTTACCTCCCCCACCACTTTTACCCTCCCCCACCACTCTTACCCTCCCCCACCACTCTTACCCTCCCCACCACTGCTACCTCCCCCACCACTGTTACCCTCCCCCCACCACTGTTACCCTCCCCCACCACTGTTACCTCCCCACCACTCTACCCCCACCACCCCCTCCCCACCACTCTACCCTCCCACACCACTCTTACCCTCCCACACCACTCTTACACTCCCCACCACTGTTATCCTCCCCACCACTGTTACCTCCCCCACCACTGTTACACTCCCCACCACTCTACCTCCCCCACCCACTCTTACCCTCCCACACCACTCTTACCTCCCACCACTCTACCCTCCCCCACCACTCACCCTCCCCACCACTCTTACCCTCCCCCCACCACTGCTACACTCCCCACCACTGTTACACTCCCCCACCACTGTTACACTCCCCCACCACTCTTTACCCTCCCGCACCACTCTTACCCTCCTGCACCACTCTTACCCTCCCCCACCACTCTTACCCTCCCCCACCACTCTTACCCTCCC